AGAATAAACTATGGTGGCAACTCCAAATCTCTTTTCGAAACCCGTTTCTTTTTGGATCGTCGTCCCGTCGCGATTTCGGTTGCGACATAGGTCAAATCCAACTTAAATTGGATTGATAAATTCCTAATTTAGTTGATTTAGTTAAAATGGATTTAGATTTTAATCAATATATTTTTTAATTGGATAAATTAAATTTGATTATATATCAAATCTATTTTATTATATCTAGAGTAGACATTGAAAAATCCAATCCATGATCCTCCTTAGTTTAAGTGATGGACTTCTATGGCATCACTTTCACTATAGGTCTCCTCACATTCTTCAGAAATATTCTTGAACCTTTGTGTAAGAATGAATCTTTCATCTCAACTATTCAGCCTCAATCGTTATGGTATGCCATTTGGTCTCAACCATTTAGCCTCAACCATTTGTGCTCAACTATTCTGCCTCAATCTCTCAACCTCGATTTCTCTATCGAATTTGCAGTCTTAAAAATTTAGTTGGACTATTCAGCCTCAACCGTTCTTCTCAACCATTCAATTTAATGCCTTTATCTATTTTGAGAAGAATTGAAGATGTGGAGATTTAGCCAACCAGAATGACAATTCAATTGGATGATAGATCTATTAAGTATCCATATGGAGTTGTGGAAGCCTTGCTAGTTGTTGAGACTTTGGCAAGTGTACCAAATCGTTTCAAGTAATAAAACCGGTAAGACCGAATATAGTTTCCAAAGAGACTAGTGTCACCAAACAATCGTATAATTTCCAACTAACTTAGACTAAAGAATGCTTCATAATTTGGGTTTTTTTGTGCAATTAAAGTAAACATGCAAAGTAAATGATAAAAGTGATATTTGATACTCAAACACTTGGAAATGGTAAGATTTGAAATGGTATGGAATGATATGGTCGGGGTATGATTTCACCTACTTCACTCTTATGTAAAGAAAATCACTTCCTCTTCATTAATATGCCGATGTCAATCTACTAAATTACTCAAACCCAATCCCTTGGTAGAGAGAGCCTAGACTTCTTTATTAGGCTCTCATCCCTTGGAAGACCTAACAATTATTTCCGCATTAAGATTTGAGATTTAAGACAACCAAAAGTCTAGTTCTGTCCCTAGATACTATTTCCTTTAGGTGTTTAATCCAAGTCCAGATTTACCCAACATTTCCCAATATCAAGCAAACCCTAAAATCATGTAATGAGTAGCAACTTCACAACAAGCATTAAGAAAAGGAATTAAACACTCACAATCAATGGAAGATGCATATATTCATTCAAAACAAAGTAGTTTACATAAGATTTCAGTGGCTACATCAATTCTCCAACAACAATGAAACTAGCTCTCCATGAGCTTACAACAATGGTGGAAATGGAAGAAGGAAGAAGACCCAAGGAAGAAGATGCCTTGTTTCCACAGCTCCTAGCTCACCTCCAAGTGCTCCAAATGAGAGAAAACGCGTCTAGGTGTCAAAAGATGTCAAGCTCTTCGCGCCTCTGAGTTAAACAGGGCAAATCTGTCATGTCAGCAAAGTTGGCGCTCAAGCCCCCAGAAAGAGGGGGCTCAGGCGCATGACAGTCCTGATGCACAGGCGCTCAAGCCCCTATAGACCAGGGGCGCCCGGGCTAGCTTCAGTAGAATTCTGGTTCTTCATTTTTGTTGTTTTTCTTGCTTTCCTTGCTTTCCAGTGTCTTCATTTGATGCATAGACTTCTTCCAACTACTTTAAGCACATGAAAGCAGAGATTAGTGATCAAAATATCTCATTAAAGCTTAAAGTGCAACCACTTAACAAACTAAAAGAAAACTAGGATTTACAAGGCAAGTTAAGGAAGGGTTGACATTTTCTCTTAATTCATTATTGAATTCATGGTAAAATATGTCATTATCACTAGTGAAGGTAGATAAATTATTCTTCCCAGTGTACTTTGTAGTTATGGATATTGAGGAAAATGTTAAAGTACCTCTCATTCTAGAAAGACCTTTCATGAAGACAGTCAAGATCAACATAGATGTTGACAATGGCAAGTTAAAAACATGTGTCTAAGATGATGAAGTCAATTTTAATGTGTTTGAAGTCGTGAAGCATCCTAATGACCAAAGGATTGCTTCATAATTTATACTATATAAGGTATGTTGGAAAATTAAAGGAAAAGTTCCAATGATTGACCCCTAGAAAAAGTTGTGACAAATCAACTTGAAGGTGGATTGATAAAGAGGGTGAGATCATTAAAAAGTGTTTGGAAGATATGATCAGGGCACAAAAATTTCCTCTGTTCTAGACTCTCCAAAGCTGGTGCCCAGCCTAAGAAACAAAGCATAGGAACAACCGCGGTAATAATTATAGTTAAAGAAATTGTCATCACATCTTAAATATGTTTTTCTTGAAGAAAATGGTGGTAAACCTATGATCCTCAACAATCCCCTTATAAAAGAAAAAGAATCAAGACTAGTCAATCTCTTATAACTAATAAAAATGCAATAGAATAGACCTTGTTAATGTTTAAGTCCCTTAACTTTGAAGTGAAATTGAAATTCGTCATTATTCGAAACTTTGATACATTTTGGTCCCTAAACTTTAAAAATGAAGTCCCCAAACTTTAAAAAGAATTGATATTGTGCTTTTATCCGAATTACATTATGTTTTTTTAATGTATCAAATGCATATTATGCTAGTATTTGAGTTGTTTACACCTTTGACATGTTTCCACTTTAATGTATGCTAAAAACACTTTGATACGTAAAAAATATTTAATATGATTGGGTTAAAAAGACTACATCCACTCATTTTTAAAGTTAAATGACTAAAATGTATTAAAGTTTTAGATAGAAACATAATTCAATTAGGGTCAAAGTTAAGTTATTAAGAAAATACTTATATACCTAAGTATCTACGGATAAAATTCATTATAGATAGTAAATATATACTTTAAACGGATACTCGTGAATAAAGAACAATTTAACATCTGTTTATAAACAAATCGGATATGAATATTATACTATTTTATTAAGTTAAATTTTAATTAAAATGAATATTTAATTTATATTTTATTAAGTTAAATTTTAATTGAAATAAAATTTAATTTATATTTAATTAAATTTATATATTTTATATATTTTTTTAATTTTATTTTAGACTTTATTCTAAAAGTATATAAATTATCTCTTTTTAAATATTTTTAAATATTTATGAATATCCAAAAGTTTTAAAATTGAAAAATATACGGATATCCAACAGAGTATCCCACCCAGTCTCATTTCTATGCGTAGGGAGAAATACTTAGAATGTAGAAAAGTACGAAAATAAAGTGCATGATGAGTACCCAAAAATGATTGTGCTGAATTCATTGAAATTGCTTCATAGATAAGAGAACTCCATGCCTGTCATGGACCTCTTTTGCCTCCCACTTACACCTTCTACAGTACCACCACTTTCCCTTTTCACATCATTACTATTTATTATTAAGTTTTGTTAACACCCTTCTATCATTATTCTATGTACACTTAAAATAATAAGTATTTGTAGAAAAATAATTAGGTCAAAAACATTGAAGAATGATAAATATTTACTCAAAATAAGATTTCTGTCTCTTCTATTTTTTTATATAGACTTTGGTTATTAATTATTATCATTACGATTTTTGTCTTACATACCTTAAAAACTATCATTTTGATAATTTTTTAATTTTGTAAAATATTTGGACTAAAATTCTGAGAAAATAGGGGATTAAAATTACAATCAATAACTAAAAGGAATTCGAAGTTATAATTTAACCAAAGTTTTAAGTAAAACTTCTCTTTTTACAATTATATGATTTGTACATTTGGGTTGAATAAAGAATTAAGAGGAATGCTGATAACACTTTTTAAGGTTTTCTAAAATTTATTAAAAGCTACAAATTCCTTTATTAATTTTAGATTTTAATGAATTCAAACTAATAATATTTAAAATGTAATGATAGCATTAATGTTCAATTAATAACTTTTGTTCAAGTTTAAAGACACTTAAAATTCATATGCCATTTATTAACATGGTACCCAAGGATAATGATAACTCACTTAGGCCCTGTTCTTTTGAGTGGATTTGAGAGGATGAATTTGAGGGGATTTGAGAGGATTTGAAGATAATTTTTTTTATCGTTTATTTGAGTTAATTTGGAGGTAAATGATAGTGAATTTGAAAATAAATTTTGTGAGAATTAGTATAGAATTGTATTGACATGACAAATTAAAAAAAATTATTTCCAAATTCACTCTCATTTACCTTCAAATTCACTCAAATAAACGATAAAAAAAATTATCTTCAAATCCTCTCAAATCCCCTCAAATCCATCCTCTCAAATCCACTCAAAAGAACAGGAACTTATTGATTCCAAATTTGCATAACTTATTTAAGAAAATAATAACTCACCACTTACATAAACTTTTAATGACATAAAACCATTCTTTTTGAATTGAGATTAGCACTTTTTTCTTCTAATTATTTAAGAAATTTAAAATGTAGACCCTCGATTTGAATACCATCTTTGACCCAAACATCTCGAACTTTACAACCTATACCTTAGCAAAGCTTCCACCCTACTTCTAGCATTGTTAATCTTTTTTCTTTCTTGTCGGCGTGCACGCATGGGTTTTATATAATTGAACAAAGGAGACACACCAAAACCATCACAAGAAAAAAAATAAAATAAAAAAAAACAAAGAACAAAAAGGTTGTACAACACTATGTTTTGATTTTGTATTATGTGTTTTTTATCCGCTAGTACAACAAAAATTATTACACGAAAAAAAAACAAAAAACAAAAGATTGTACAATGTTGATGAAACAATTTTGATTCTTAATTATATTTTTTGTGTTGTTTATATAATGAACCTTAAAAATACATTAACTTATATTAATTTTTATATTTTAAAGCATATTAAAAACTTTTTTAATGTATCAAAATAAATATATTTTAAAAACACTAGAGAAGTAGAGTACAAAAAACATACGAGAGAATGGATACTTGAATTACAAGAGAAACCTCTGCAAAATGACATGGCATTGCATCATGTTGTACATTTTTAAATGAAGGGAGGTTCTACCCAACAGATAAGTACATAATTAAGTTTCTATTCTAAGACAAACAAAAGTGAAGAAAGACCATATCATTACATTAAACTTTACTTCACTTTTTGTTTTTTTTTTCTTTTCTGGTTAGTGCTAATTAACAAGAAGTTTGATGAAATCAAAGGGTGTTCATACAGCGATGGTACAGCAAGTATTGTTAATGGGTTGGCCTCTTGCCATGCCAAGAAGCTTCATCTCCTTTGTTGCAGGATCCTCAAGCATTAGGACCTTGTCCTTGTCTCTCACCCCAACCATGTGAAGGAATTCACTGTCCTCCCTCTCCTTGCCCTTGAACAGAAGCCTCTGCTCTCTGGGATCCAAATTTGTCACCAGTGACAAAATCAGTTTTAGTTCCCCTGCAAGTTTTTATCATTCACAAATTAGTATCAAAATCTATGTGGTCTCTCCAATTTTCAAGAAATGAAGTTTAATAATTTCTGATCTCTGATTTAGAGAACTTATTCTCAGTATCTTATCTGATTTAATGATTCATCCCTCTATCCACCCTTATGAATTTTTGTTTTGGTCTCCAACTTTTAGAATGTTATATATATCATTAATCACCATACATTAATTACCTTTGTCTGAAAGGGGTAAAGGATTAAAGGTCAAGTATTTTAAAGAGAAATACCAAAAAGAAAAAAACTAATGATTTCAAAGTCAACATTATAAACCAAAATTTTGAATCTTTTTTATTAATAAAAACACCCTTTTAACTCAAAATGAAAATTTGGAGTAGACTTTGAAAAGGGTATGCACGAACAACAAATTTATAAGAAAAAACAAATTTCATTAGGGAAAACTTTAAGGAGATTGTTGACCAATAAACTAAAAACATTTTATATAAAAGAAACTTAATTAATACATTTTTTAAACCCAAAACTTTGAAGTAACAGATGTTTGAATCTTTTTTCTTATATATATAATGTGAAACCAAACTCAATAAAAGTATTTGTAACTAAAATCATATTTCATTAGAAGAGCATTACCAAAAGTTGAAGTGGCATCAATGGAAATGTCATGCCATTGTGAGACAGTGGAGACTCTAACAGCAATGACTCCCTCTCCAGAACTTTGGTTATTATTACTCTCCCTCTTCTGAACAAGCATGCCACCAGGCCTAAGTTCCCACTTGATTTCACCGTTGTTTTTGGCATCCTTTTCTGGGGATGATGCTGTTCCTTTGTTGCCAAGCTTGGAGCTGCTTCTTGAAAACCTCTTTGACCTCAACTTCATCATCTTTCTCACACTCTTTGATCTCTTTTTTGGTTTGGAAAGTGAAGGAGCAAAGAGAAGGTGATGAGGTTAGGCACTTATATAATAGAGGGAAAGTGTTGAAAAGGCAGAAAGAAGAACATGAATAAAATAGAAGCCGCCCTAGTGTTGCAAAAAAGCAAGAGTTGAAGGAACACATGGGGAGACATTGGACAATATGGGCAAATTGTCTTTTCTAGGGCACATGGGGAGTTAGTGGGTGCTTAGCAACATATTCATTTAATTGCTTGATTGGTGGGCCAAAATCAACAATGCCTTTCAATTTGGTTCTTTTATTTTTTTCTTTCTCTTCTTGGCTCAAAACAATCAGTGTACCTTAATTAATGCTGAACAAGTGTCATAAGTCTCATCACTCTAACTACACCTCTTAAAGAATCACAAAGAGTTACGTAATCACTCAATAAATTCTTTTATTGGAAATCATAATTCGAATGAATTAACTCATTAAATTGCTTAAAAGAGTCATTAAATGTTCATTAAGATAAGAATATGTACGATCTATTTTTAATTAAACTTTTATGATAACCTTTTCTTGTTAGTGCTAATTAACAAGAAGTTTGATAAAAATAAATTTATATATTTTATATTATTAAAATTAAATTATATATATATAATTAGTAATATGATAAAAAAGTATAAATTTATATTTTTAATATATTGATATTTCTATTTAGTTTAAAATTTTTTAAGTTTTGGTTTTAAATTTTTTCTTTCTTATTCAATATATTAATGTTTTAATTTATTTTTTTCTTAAAATTATTCTTCTTTATATAATCCTTTAAATGGATATAGTATTAAAAAAATAAACTAATATTAATTTTATCACTTTACCTTTCTGTTTTTTTATAATATGTAAAACTGTTGATTTATTATCCAAATAATATATATTTTTGTACTATAGTTGAAAGTCTTTCACCTCTATATGACATTAACATGATTGATTAACCAAACATAGGATATCTTATACTGATACTTGATACCAGGTATCTTGTAACTAATAAAGTTTACATGTCGAGAATTACGAAACTCAGAGTATTTTATAAGAAGAACGTATTCACTACATGATTTTTTTAGCCCTGTCATGCCAAAATTGTTAAGTAAAAATGATATTTTATAATATCTTATGTTCAAACCTTTTGCAGAAAAAAATGATATTTTTAATTATCAATCATTACGAAAATGTAAGATGACATTTAATTGATGATTGTTTAATTTTACACTTCTATAAAAGAGCATGATAAAATGTATACAAGAAAAAAAGATTTATTGAAAATACAATTCTTTTATATATTAATTACACATTTTAATATGTGTGTTATATATATACATAGATGAAAAATCAAAACAAAATGAAATTAGTATTTTCAAAAAATACAATGCACTTTAAAAATCAAAATGTTTTATTTTTATTCATTTGTTATATATAATCTTAAATGAAAGAAATGAAACTTAATACTTGGTAAAGAAAAAAAAAAGTTAAACCATCATCCTATCATCATAAACTATCGCACAGTAAATTTATTAATTTTTATGATAATTATTTTGAAACTCACAAGGATACTTTGTGGCTGGATGAGAGTAAAATTATATTAGACTTATTGGACAAAAATATAGCATCTTAAATACTAAACCTTTTATATATATATATATATATAAAGAGTATAGTGTCAGAACCAGAAAAATCAAAAGTCAGGAACCAGTAAAATCCAAGCACGTGTCGTTAATGGAATTCACGTGTCAAGATGGGAGCTTGACACTCAGATGACGAACGCCAGGTGTCAAGCAAAGGAGAACCGGAAATCAGTTAGTGGAAAACAGGTGTCGACTGAAGAGGGGACGTTCGTTCTCGACTGTGAAGCAAAACTTAGATTTTAAGAAAAACACTCCACTCTCCTCTGCATGCACTCTCTTTCCAAAATCTGATCTTCCATCTTCCTCCTTCTTCTCTCTAGAAACCCTATCTTCTCTCTAAGAAAACTCACCCTTCCTCTTCTCCGATCATCATTCTGGCACCGTAGGAGCATTTCCGGCGTCCCAAGCTTCTACTTAAACCGAACAGTTCTGGATTTTGAAACGGGTAAGTTTCTCATCTTTAGCTGTTCGTCCGTATGAACATGCAAGCCTAGCTCTGGTTGCATGAAGTCACCTTATCTGAACCAATCTTGGTTTTCTGTAAATTGTTTTAGTTTGAAGAGTTTGGTTGAGCGTTGAGGGTAGAAGAAATCTTATTACTGCAAACTGAATTTTAGTCAGAAGGACGTACGTTCACACTAGAGGTAAGGGAAGCTTATTTGATTTAATTCGTATGTTGTGCTTTGTATGAACGTTCGTTATTTTACTGCACGAGTATAATGCATGATGTTTGATGTGATTGAATGGCATGAACATTCGTTGATTTATGAGTGGGAATGAAATATATGAATTTACATGATATGAGTTGTATGAAATGTGAAAGTTGATGTTGATATGAACGAATGGAATTATGAAACTGTATGATGAGAAATGAACTGGAATGTAAATGAAAACTGAATATAAACCTTCCCAATGATAATGTACGTTCGTTGCTGAACGGTCCTTGACCGTTCGGTTTTCCTGGTGAAAATAGTTAAAATGGGATTCTTTCATTTGGATAGAACCCTAGTTGAGGATGAGCGTCCTCGTGTTAAAACACTATGCTTGAGCGTTCGGCCAAGCACAGTTATATCTGGGTATCCTTGCTAAACTCCCTTTTTATATATATACGTGTAATGGTAGATTTCGTCGTTCATAAACACTACTTCGACAGTCTCTTAGTATATTTATCAAAGTCCGTTATTTTAAGGTTATTGGTGCTCGGTCTTATACCAAGCGCTCGTACTGAGTAGTGCTCGGTCTTACACCTAGCGCTCGTATGGATAAGTGCTCGGTCTTACACCTAGCGCTCGCTCTAAATGGTGCTCGGTCTTACACTGAGCGCTCGTACTCATTCTTGTAAAATTAGTCTTAATGAAATAGCGTACGTCCAACTTCAGTAGAATTTTCCCTTACCACGTTCGGTCATTGATTGGCAGTGGATTTCAGTATGAGAACTATCCTAAATATGGTTCGTTAACGTCTTGAGATGTCTACATTCGATGTATTCGGCCTAGGGCCTTCACACTTAAATTATTCTCGGAATATTGGTTTAAATTCACGAGAGTTAGTTCATTTAACTGATTCACATGGTAAATAACGTTCGTCCAATGAAACAGGACATTACTCGGTTATTCCCAAACGTAATCGTAACTCTATTGGTCGTATTCTGATCTGGAACGGGCGTCTTCCTGTTCCCGTCCACAATGTTCGTCCTCGTTCTTAGTGTGGACAGAACGTTCGGTATTTGATGTTCTTCCTATTGATGATAAAAATGAATGTGGAATAGTGAATCATAAATGATGATGAGTATATGAGATGAAAAGAACGTTGTGGCTTTTGAACGAGCGTTCCGGGGAGGAACGACTCTTGGATGACTATTGGAATTGTAAAGTATGACTGTGGTTATGCTAGTGCTGGCAGTTCATCCTATTGTTNGGTAAATCCCTCTCGGTTAATGTCGAAGGCCGAGAGGTAAATCTCTCTCGGTTCATGTTGAAGGACGAGCGGTAAATTCCTCTCTGTTAATGTCGAAGGTCGAGCGGTAAAACGCCATCGATTAATGTTGAAGGACGAGCGGTAAATCCATCTCGGTTAATGTCGAAGGTCGAGCGATAAAACGCCCTCGGTTAATGTTGAAGACCGAGAGGTAAATCTCTCTCGGTTCATGTTGAAGGACGAGCGGCAAAACGTCCTCGGTTTGTCTTTACGTGGCAAAAGCTTTCCAATACAGCAAACACAACCTCCCTCAAACTCAAGTCCTATAGTTAACCACGCCTAAAGCCGAACGCTTAACTCAGACTTGGGGGCATTATGTATAGTAAGATATTTATTGGATAAGATATCTTAGATATTTTAAGCGGTTAAGATTGTTAGAAACAAACAACCGGATTTTCAGGTAATTTGTTTATATCTTATTTATATTTTATTGGGCTGATATCAGATCAAGATCCATGAGGTAAGTTATAAATACAAAGCCAGAGCCGAAAGCCAGGTACGTTCCACTTACGCATTATTCCCTCTACGCTACTCTCAAATACTCAATAGTGATAATCATTCACTAAATATTCGACTAAGAGTCGAGGCTCTCCAAATCAAACGCCTAACTTGAGCGTCGGAGTATCTTTTGTAGATACATCCTCCCACGTCAAGAAGGAGACCGATCGGTTTGTGTCAACACTGATCGGCCAATAGCAGGAGTTTGGAAGCGAGCGAGCGGCCCAGACACGTCACCNCACCAGAGATTTGATAGCGCAGATGCAAGCGCAGATACAGGCACAAGCAAGAACCATACAGGCACAGACACAAGCATAACAAGAGATGCAACGAAGGCACGCGAAGGAGATTGCAATATTGAGAGCAGAGCGAGGTCGTGCCGAACTGTCAGCTCAACACTCGGAGTCCACAGCCGATCGGGGTAACAACCATCACAATGATAACGATGGAAGTCATAATCAGCAGCCAGCTCGACATACTGACCCGAACGGTCGGGGAAGGAGAGAATCATCCCCCCTACGAACCGATCGGCCCTCTAATCTACTCCCTTTTACGGCGACCATCATGCAAACTCCAATGCCCGAGAAGAATCCTCCTGTATTGGATAAGTATGATGGCTCGACAGATCCCGACAATCATCTCCGGCTTTTCACCAATGCAATGGTGTTCTACACGGATAGTGATCCGATTATGTGCAGAGCCTTCTCCTTATCACTCAAGAACGAAGCATTAGAGTGATATAACACTCTTCCCCCAAACACAGTGGATTGCTTCGCCACGGTGGAAACCCTGTTTAGAAAGCAATACGCCTCCAATCGTAATCAGGAAGTAACACCAGCGGAATTGGTAAATACTAAACAGGAAAAAGGAGAAACTTTGAAGGCCTTTAT